AAGGGAAGGGAAGGGAAGGGAAGGGAAGGGAAGGGAAGGGAAGGGAAGATAAAGGAGTGGCTTCTGATATTCTTTAAAGCAGTTATAAATGCATTTATATTTTATCCTCTCCATTTCCTGGTGGTTTCTCACCCAAGTTTTAATTAGCTACAAGCGGCCAGGGGCTATCGCTTGCTGGGTTAGCAAAGCACTGTTGCTGCAGACGTAATATTTGTATCCAAAATAAACCGGATTATGGCTTGATGCAATGTCCTGATTTATTCATGCAACGCGTTAAGACACCGGGCACCTCAAAGCCAAAATGACTTGCCACACCGAAGCGCAAGGATGATGCATTCTGCATTCCTTCTGTGGCCTCCTCTGGTACCTCTGCACGTGCGCGGAAGCCTCTTCTGGTGCTTCCAATGAGCACCTGGAAATCCTGTAAAACGCCCCCAAAGCAGAAATGACATGATAGCTTTATTTTGCTTTTTCCTGCTGGGAAACACCAGTAAGGGGTCGAGGCATTGTCAAAGCAAGAAACCCATCAAACCTCCAAGGCTCAGCTTACTGTCCTTGTTTCCCGCAACAACGGAAGTCGAAATCATGCTTCTATAATTTAGTGGCATAATGTTGTACGCTCTGGAGCTAATTAAAAAAAAAAACAAATGGTCTGGGAGTCACAATCCATCTGCAGGTTGGCTCACCAGTCCCCACTGGAATAGAGCTTGTTTACCTCCCTAAGCAGAAGCTGCAACCAAATTTGAACTGGTCACCTCAGTGATTCGGAGGAAAAATCCTCTTCCGCCTCTTAAAGCTGTGCAGAGAAATGCAAAGCACGTCCACAAACCGCAGCGATCCATGCATGATGAACGGAGGGGAGAGGAGCGTTTCAAAACGAGGGTCTTCTGATGAGGACACGTTCATTGCTCAGCAATCAGTCCAAGCGGATAATTACGATGGAGGCACAAAAGGGCAGGCAGGTTGTGTCAGAGAGAAGGGACAGCTGGTGCTTGTGCGCACTCCCGGAGATGGTACGAAATTCACAAGCATTTCCGGACTAAGACAAAGCAAGAACACATTTCCATGCACCACCATGCTTTCCTCAGGTGAATTCCAAAAGAGCTCAGAGGGATGTATGTCTAGACCCATTCGGTGTTTCAGCAGGACTGACATGGCCACCACCGTGATTTGGACAGCTGGAATCTGTTTCTTAGATCTCTCCATTAAAAAAAAAAAGATTATTCCACTGTTCTTCCAATGACCTCATCTGATAGCCAGGATTGTTCACAGTATGGGTAGAATAAGTTAAGGACGTAATGGACTCAAAATGAACTTCACAGGTGAACAAGTCCTTGAATATGGTTTCCTATCACCCCCATGCCTAGTTCAATGCACAATCCCAGTGTTTCTCAACCTTGGCAACTTGTAAGATGCGTGGACTTCAACTCCCAGAATTCCTCAGCCAGCTGTCAAGTTGTCAAGGTTGAGATACACTGCACTAGCCATTATACCATACTAATTGGTCCTGAACAATGGTTTGGGAAGTATGAGAAAGATCTCTGCCTTAGTGAGGTTAAAAAAGAAGAAAAAGTAGGTTCTCCATCTCTGAAGGTTTGTAAAACTCTAGACAGATGCATCTGAAGGGCGGTTTAACT